TTCAATTCTTGAAAACTCAAGTCAGAAAGTCCACCTTGGCACTCCTCTTACATAAATATGGGACCAAAGAGAGTATATTCCTGCTGCCTTATCTTGGCAACAGCTTATCACATGGGGCAAGGCTGTTCCCTCAGAAGGGTATTTCTGGTTTACCACAAGTAATTCTAGCTCTGGACACCAAGAGAGAGGAGGGTAGTCAGTGCTTATCACCAAAGATGCCCCTAACAGACAGTTTTCTACTTCATTTTCAAATGGCTATCTACGGTAGCTGCCCCCAGACTGTGAGGACACAGATAATGTATAGGCTACATTCAGGGGATTTGGAGAAAAAAAAAAAAAAAAAAAAAAAAAAAAAAAAAAAAAAAAAAAAAAAAAAAGCTGGGTTACCATGAGACAACTGCTGCCACTGCCCCTCAGCAAGAACGAGGATACTTGCACTGCTCCTTCCCTCAGGTTAACTGGACATGGTCAGCCAGGAGACGACTCCAGGCTGTTGAACAAATATGGGAAGGAGGAAAACTATGATAACACTAGTGGGCTTCTAAGAGAAGCAAGAGACTTGCAGCAAAATTAAAACTTACAGTCACAGTGCAAATTTTGACAAACCTCAGAAGAGACAGCAACCAGTTGGCTGAAACCAGACAGACCCTGAAACTTTGCCCATACTAAAAAGAATGACACCGACATGCAAAGATGGCAAAAGGAGATTCTTTCGTTTCAATGTTTTCTACATTTAAACTGGCAGATTCTGTTCCAATACAAGGTACTCTTCCTCTATTGTAGTAATTCGTGTTCTAATAGCATCCACAGATCAGATAGGAAGGCTGCTGTTGTAGTCATTTGAAAGAAAATGTGGGAGTTTCACCTCAAGGCTCTGGTCAACTCAACTCCATCATTTAAAGATGGATGTATATGTCACAATCTTGCTATCTGAATTCTCCCCATAACTGTTCATCAACATTCTTTAGCTTTCTCATTTTTATAGTGATGTATTTACACGTGCACAATTAATTCCATCTCAGCATACCAAAAAGATCACCTCGTGCATCCTTACTTATATGCCAACTCTTATATCCTTATCCATTCCCATATCGCACATACACACAGAAAAAAAGTATGAAGTAGCACAGAGCAGTCCACCATACACAAGTGTTGTTTCAGGAGCAAATGTCCATAATTACATATGGGGATTTGGTAAAAAAGACCAAAGTCACAATCTGTTCAGTTCTGAGCAATGTCAACAGAGACATGCACCTTGTTTTCCTCATTTATACTAATGGAAACAAGTACTCTGAAAAAGCAGACACCTGATTTTAAGCCCTGTGAACCGAGCCACCATCTAATCTATTACCAGTTTGACACCTTGCAGAGAAATTGCAATTAACTTGGAAAGCCTTTCCCACCTTTATAACTGAGACAAATTATTGATTTTGTTGTTTGCCGACATCCTGAATGTATTTTTGATAGAAAATGCAGCTTTACACATTTAAAGGGTGAAATGTATCCATTTTAGGCCTGTTCACTCTTAGGTAATTGTTTCTTCAAAGAGAGAGTGACAGTTGAAATTTAGATATATGTTATAAAGGAAACTGATTATGTTTTTGCACATCCACATCTATTTCAATCTAAGCTAAACCCAACCTGCCTTGCCGCAAGATAGTGACTTCAAACCATCCATTTGTTTGCTGCAGGAAGTCACAAGCTGAGAATTGTAAAGCCACATCCTGGAAAGAAAGTATCAGAGCAACAAATATAAGAGCATGTATACACAAGACCTGCAAACCCTGGACTGTGCTTTTTGGCCTATGCTCTGCCCCTGAGCCCACCGAACTGATTTAAGTAACATCAACAGCTGGGGGAAGATCATCAAAGCAGCCTGTTTTGCCCCTAATAAAAGAGCTGACTTCTAGGGTCAAAGCATGTAAGTAACGTGAAAAACAAGTCTAGTTCAGCCAATAGAGCTGAACCAGCTATGACTCTGGAAAGGCTTATGCTGAGAGGACAGACTAGATAAATCCTAGTTGCCTTAAGATTACAATGGCAGGAAAGTGTCAAAATAAAAATAATAGTGGTATTACCAGATGCTAACAAATTTAGTGCAGTGGATTATTGACAGAGAGAACCTATAACTATATCCTACCTATAACTGAGGTAAAAATACTGTAAAATCTACTTCTGAAGAATAATATTTGAGCAAGATGGAAAAGCACATGCTCCTCACCCCTCCAGACTTCAAAACAACCATGCTAGCGGTGTTCCTGGCAATGCAACAAAACACTACATAGTTTCACTGTTTTGGAGAATAATGTATTTGGTCTATGTGCTATCAAAGGCTCAGGGCCATCTTCATTTCCCACTAAATCTTCCAAAATTAATGGTGTTGTTTCTTCATTTGAGACACGGTTCCAAGTATACAACACTTTTATTAGGATTACCAGTATTTTGCCAATCTCCAAACGGATGAATGAACCCAAACAATTCTAACTTTTCAAATTAAATTCCACTCTGTGTCTATGAAATTATTATTTTAAGACTGTAACTGAGGGACACTGGGAAGTGAGCTCCCTATGAAACAGAACTCAAATGTATTCCACATCATTCACTTCCCCTCTGATCCCCTTCTCAAGATGAGCAGAGAATCTTTACCCCAGCCAGCAGTCCCCTTGTTACTGCAAACACCAGGGCTTCTCCATCAATACAATCATTGAGGGCCCATTCGTCTCTACTCCTCATCCCCCAACCAACACACTGGTCTACCTTTGTGGTTAACCAACTGTTGTATTTCACTATTCAGCAAAAGAGAAAGATGATGTAAAATACTTGCCCACAGGTCTTTCAGCCACCACTCAAAACTGCTCTCATTGTCAAAGTATTTCAAGCACCTGACCAGTCACACAAATCCTTCACACAGTGGCTTTAAGTTCATCCCAACAGAATCCAATCAAAAACAAATGGTGGTAATGGTCACCAACTATCTATGCTATAGATTTCTTTATTCTCCAGTAAAACTGAGGAGACGAAACAGTACAAGGATTTCAAGAATCTAACACTTCAGACAGAAAAGACACGTAAAACATTAAAACCAGAAACCACTCCAAAAACAAAGACAAAAATTAAAATAAGGAAGACCAGACACTCTCAGCTAAGAAACAATTAAAGAACAGATGATTCTGAGACAGATGTCAGCACTTTTAGACTTCAGCAAGCCTGGTGCCACTTGTTGATAATCCAAGATTTCACATCTCTGAAAGCTAGCCCCTCAAGCTTTAGAAAATATGTATCACTTAAAAAATAAGGGACAGACTTCCATACAGATTGTTTAGATCATCCCAAAAGTCTTCTGTAAAGTATTTCACATTAATTCTAAATAAAAAAACTCTTTTAACAAGACTCAGCCTTAATTCTCAAGGTCTACTAAAGAGTCTACATTTGTCTTTAGCTAGTCTAAGCAAAATAAGCCAAACCAATGTGCCCCATCAATGACGCAAGACTGTTATCTTAATTAAATACTCATATCCAGTATGCTGGTAAGCAGATGGCTTTGAAATAGGAGTAACTTCACCTTCACATATTTCAAGATGCAGATTACACACTAATCCAAAACAGACAGCAGAAACCACAAGGATAAGCTGAGAAATGAACAGTTACTCAATCACTATGCTTGCCTTCTAATTTCCTATTCTTAACCCACTGGCATTCAGGAACATGACTTAAAATGAAGTTACATTAATAGCCTGATGTCTTCCTTTACAAAAGAATAAACAATTATTATGGAAGTTCTTTTCTTATATCCAACCATGAAAACAAGGAACATTAGATGGCCACCAATGTTACTTCCAAGGGAAAACTAGGTAAACCTAATTTCTTATGAAAAAAAAAAAAAAAAAAAAAACCAAACACCCCAGCAAAGCTTCGCTCCTTCAATATTAATACTTTGTTTAAAAAGGATAATAACAAGTGTTGCTTAGTTAAGAAAGAGGTTTCTTTATAAGGAATAAAAAGCCAGAGTTTTCTACATATATACCAAGGGTCAACCATCAGTGTGAAGTGTTCACTCCACAAGTGCCAAACTTTTAATAAAAAAACACATTTATTACAACAGAATATTACAAACAACTAGCTTCAGTGATCAACAAATAAAACTTTACAAAATGCAAACAATGTAATTTCCGATTGCAGAGTGACAGATATTCCAAGTTTACAAACATATCATCATTTTGTTTATGCCCTCTTAAAAATCATTTCCAGTCTGCTTTATTTTCCATCAAATACAGTACATTTATCCAAACAAAAGCATGTACATTCAATATAGAACATTTTGAGCAACAGCTACAATCTCAGTTCCCATTCACAGTATTTTTAGTGCAATGCACTAACAGGGCCAAATAGTTCTCTATCCATAAAAGTATTTTTACTCCTGATCTTGTGATCAACATTTAGATATATTTTATACAAAAAGTATATATGAACATGAGGCACCTCCCTAAGTAAGGGAGTGAACCTATATAAAAAACATGGTATTTCTTCCGATGTACAATACCTTTCAAATTGTAACAATTTGACACAAATCACTAAACAAAGTATTTTCTAAAAGGTAAAACATAACAAAACAAAAAACAAAAAAAACACCAACCAACCAACCAAAAAAAAAAAAACCAAAAAACAAACAAACAAAAAAAAACCCCAAAAACCAAAACAAACCCATGGATGCATGAAACCTGCCAAGAATTTCAAAATGGCAGGCATGCGACTGTTTTACTACAATCCTCATTAAAAGGTTAAAAAAAGGTATCTAAAACATTTTCCAAATTACACAAAGTCAAGTGCTACCCATAGTGGTCATTTAAAATCTTGAGAGAAAATATATTTTGAGATTCTCCCATACTATCCTCCCTTTTTATTAATATTTAATGAAATAAGCTAACATTATAAGTGGTTGTGCACAGATTGTCTATGATACATCAGCAAATATTCACTACCTTCATATTAACATTAGTGTGTTGATCTTTCAAAAATAAACTGAAAAAATAAACTGCAACTATCATTAAAGTGCTTCTGTATAATTTTTTTTTTTAAAAATTAAAGAATAGAGGAATGTGGATATTCTTGTAAACTTCCCAGATGTTTACAAAGTTTTCCTACGAACCACATATGGAAACATGAAGATCTTTGAACTTACTTCAGCACATAAAATTCAGCATGCCCCAGAACTGGGAAATTAGTCAATATGAACAAACTGATGTTATGGCAAATACTAAAAATTAGTACAATTCAGCCAATATACACTACATTGTTTGCTCTTATACATTCATTTGTAATAAATTTAAAACAGTATATAACACAACATTTACCAAAGTAGGATATCACAAAGCTTGAGCTGTCCATCAATTAGCACTACCAGGAAGAACCAAGTATGGATGATAAGCTTTCTGAAGATGATTTCCTAAATGAGGAACAAAAACCTTCTTCCAAAGCTGCTGTTCATTGACTTGCCTCTGGTGTACTTTTCTGTAATTTCGGAAAGTTTTTTCTATCCTGTGTCAAACCACAACTGCATAGAGATAACTGCTAATTTCGATACATGTGCATTTCAACTACGTCAGTGCTTTGGGAGGTGGCACTGTCCTACAGGCAGTCAGAGTGGTTACTAATATAGTAAGAAAAAAAAACAGCTTATGAAAATACTTCCTCCTTATAGTACCATTACCAAGAATGAGCCGTTCCAAAACAAATTAAAAAGTCTTTTTCATTCAAGTGTAGTTCAAACTTTCCAAACATCACTTGAACCTATCTGAAGAGAGAGGGGAGTAAATTAATACTTTGAGTTTACCCATATAATTCTGTTTGAAATTACACAACATAAAAAATTTATAGGGCTAATTTTTTATTCTTAAATTCAGCACAATTCAGGGTCCAACTTAGATAATTTTCTAAGTTCTGTCCCACTTAGCCAGGATTTGTTAGAAAGCCACAAAAGCGCTGCACTACAATTTAACATATCTGCATGGTTATTCACTACAAAAGCTGAACACAAATCAAATTACCTCCTGGAAAACGGCATTTCAGAGTTGAAATATAGAACAAGGCACATATACTTGGTTTTATTTTTACCAAACATGCTAGAAAGATAATTCTGAATAAGGATGTTAAAAACTCTTACAAGTATCCGTATATCATATGTACTCTCTCTCTTCATTATAACTTTTTGTACAATCCCCCAACTCTCAGGCATCAGTCAGTCATTCTGAAATACAAACTGACCGCATACAAATATTTCCTTTTATAACAGGTCCTTTAAAAATAGGCCACCTTTAACATGAAGGTGATGGAAAATAGAGAAACTAGAAATACAACCCCTCCAAATGTAAAAAACTCCCAGAGTGCCATAAAAGCATAAGTTTAGAAAATTCTTGGCCATACTTTTATACATTTTAATACTTAAAAAATAATCAATTTTAAGAAATAAATGACCAGAAATTTCCAAACTTGGGCTTATATAAATAAGCATTAAAAGAATGAAATCCTAAATTTGATGATTTCAAAGGTGTTTCCAGGCACCTAACCCATAATTATTTAAATCAAAGCAATTAAGCAACCAAATTACATTCAAAAAACTGTTCTACGCACTTTTGTTGACAGGGTATAGTCAACACACATTAAAATAAAAAAAAAATAAGTATTAAATTCCCAAATGCTAATTCCAATAAACTCATAGACATTTAATAGCTTTTACTGTAGTACCTTTAGTACTTCTTCAGCTGGTCACAATGAAATTAATTACAAAGTCATGTTATCCAAACCAAACGAACAAATTGTGTTTTTTTAAAAAATTACTATTTAAAAAATTCTAGCTTGATTATAATAGATGCCTTAAGACAATTTAAAGAGTTGACTCAATACAGTTTAATGTATATTCCAAGCTTCCTACAATAACAAATTTAGATTTTAATTCTTTTCCAAAATGCTAAAACCAAAATATAAGAAACAAATTTGACATCTAGCTTTGGGTTTAAGCCACTAAACCATAAAATCCATGGGAAAATATGTTTTCAGCAATAAATCAACAACAGGAAAAGAAATGCAGTGGTATTGTTGGGGTTTAAAGAAAAAAAAAAAGACAGAAAAAAGACAAAACACTTTTTCCTCACCAGACAACAGCTTTAGATCTTGTACTTCTGCCTTTGGTTTTATTTTCCTCAGGTGAATGGGATACATTTGCTTTGTGAGTTTTCTTATGATGTTCTAGAAAAGCTTTTCTGGCAAATGCTTTCCCACATTTATTGCATCGGTGCAGAGAAAAGTTTTTTGTTACTTTTACTTCAATGCCAACATCAGCTCCTTCATACTTTTTATTGGGAGAATTAGAGGTGACATCCTGTTTTGAACCAATCTGTTTTGTTTCATCCCTCTGAGGGCCCCTTTTTGTCACCTTATTTAGAACAAGATCAATTGGCTTCTTAATTGCCCTAATTTCTAAACTTGCAGTTATTTTCCCAAGGTAACGTGGTGACTTTTTATGAACCACAGTTATATGCCTTATCACATCACGTTTGCGACGCGTTTCGTAAGAGCAGAGTGGACACCTGTAGTATTTAACATAAATATTATTTCCATCTGTGTGTAATTCAATATGTTTTGTCAAGTTCTGTTTAGAAGTAAATTGGCGTTTACAGAGTTTACAGTAAAGCTGCTTGAAGTCAAAGCCAGCTGAAAGTTTTGGCTTCCTGTTTTTTTGCTGGCCACCTGCAGCAGATGCATTGGTTGATTTAGAGGTTGATTTAGTGGTTGATTTGCAGGTTGATTTAGTGGTTGATTTAGAAGTTGATTTAGGGTTTTCAGGGTCTTGTTTAACTTTATTTTTCTGTGCTGATGGTGTGTTCTTTTTCTCATTTGAATGATTTGTTCCCTTTAATTCATGCTGTGGAGAAAGAGCAATGGAAGGGGGTGAAGGTTCTACAGAATCTGCTGATTCAACTTTTATTTCTGTGCCATTGGCAGTATTGTTGGGTCCTTTCTCTCTTTTAGAGTTCTTTCCAGAAAGAGTTATCTTGTGAACAATTTGCATGTGTTTTTTCAGCATTATTTGTGAACTATATTTTCTCTTGCACAGAAGGCACTTGCACGCAGTTAAATTGTATTCAGCCTTTGCAGATGACTTTTGTTTTCGGGTCTTAAATGATTTTTTAGCAGAAGCTGTATCCAAGAACAAAGGTTGCCCAGGCTTGGTAGCTATATCAGGAGTAATGGAATCCCTCCTTAATCCTCTATGAACTTCATCAAAATGCCTCCTTACGTTGGCTTTTGTAGCAAATGATTTATAACATACAGGACAACTTCTACCTAATGCTACAAGAACATTCTTATTTCGTCCTTTTGCAGAGCATTGGTTTGGTTTCTTTTTTGTTTCTATGTACTTCTTTAGCTCTTCCATCTTTTTTTTGTGCACTTTTCGAATGTGCCGGCGTACACTGCGTCTTGAATGAAATTCTTTCCTACAAAGGCAACAAATCAACTGGTGGCCATAATCAGAATTATCCAGAGAGTCCAACTCAGGATTTACTGCTGGAGGCTGTTCTTCAGGAGTAGGTATCACCTTGTTTGTAACAGGATCAGCAGGAGGTAATTCTACTGTCTCCCCAGCTGGGACTGGTGCTGGAGCTGAAACAGTCTTGGGTTGCTCAGTGCTGGGTTCCTGTATCTGTACTGCAGCTTGATCAGGGGAATGGCTACTTTCTGTGTTCTCATCTGGGCTATCAGTCCTTGACACATATTGAAATACAGCATTTTGATTAGTTTCTATAGGTTCCAATGTAATCACATATTCTTGCTTATCTACCCGTGGATAGATGGCTTCAAGAAGGTTATTTATGGCTTGACTCTGCTTATCTTTTATATCTGGGAGGTCTGTGAAAAGAGGAAAAAGTATTTTTTAATGATTTGGTAATTTCCAATTATTAAAATTTCAAAGTAGCTTTTAAACACTGCGTGAATTCAGTCTCCAAATTTGCACAAATCCTGTATTTGTACTCTCTGAACACTCAGAGGTTTTGAGTAATCATTACAAGTTACTTTTTTATTAAAAGCCAGCATTGAAAATATACCCTTCTAGCATGCCAATGCAAAAGCCACCCGAACTAACAATTTGTATGCTCAGAATTAAGCTGGTCTTTAAAAATCTGCATCAATTGCAAAAATAATATCGTTTGACTGAGCTTGTTCTGCAGGTGTGCAACTAAGCCTGAAGTATCATTAGAAACAGATTTTCCTACTATTGGAAACAGGCACTCTCAATAAAGGAACCTAATTCCAGAAATAAGCTCTTCTCTGTGAATTCTGAACAATCCTTACAAAGAATGAAACATCTGTGTAACCTGAGCATTGCATGAAGACTTAAGTAGGTACTATTTTCCAGGGCTCAGTAATATTCTGTTTCTAAATAGCAAATTAGTTCAGTGATCTAGTTCCCAGCATAATACATGAAGCATCTGCACTAGCATAAAAGAGGAAGCCAGGGTGCTACAGCAAAAAGGTGAGGCACTGAGATGACACAGTTCAAATCACTGTGGATAATTTTAAAGATGCGATTCCTGGTAACAGCTAATTAAAAACCCACACTTGGTCAGTTATTCCTTCCACACTCTCAGCAATATATAAAAAGAGTGTCAGTACAAGAAATATGCTCTTTTGCTGCTCAGGACCCATCTTTTAACACTGAATTTTTAACAGCTTTTGCAGTCAGTTTCAGATGGGGCTATCCATATAATTTTTACCAAGAGTAAAAAGTCCTTCCTGGTTTATAGCATTTTTTAAGACTACTTCGTGACTATACTGATTGAATGCATCTCAAAAAAGTTATCAGGGAATAGTCTTTGCAATTCTTTACCCTCGGGTGCTGAACTTTTATTCCTGCTTCTTGTTCCCTATCTTTTATTTATTGAGCAAAACTGTCAATTCAATAATAATTGTACTCAATTTTATAGAAAACTTAAGTATTTATACAGTTTTATTCAGAGCATATGTTATTATTCCTTTTATTTTCACCTCCCATAGTGAACAGTGAGTATATTATTTTTACGTTACTTCATAAAACATATGAAAGGTAATCAGCCAATGGTTAGAATAGTAAGAGCTGGACATGAAGTGTTTCCTCAGGATCATCTTATTTTGCTTAGCAACTATTGCATCTAATTGAGATGCACTTCTAACCTTGCTTTGAAAATACAAGTCATCCCTTTTCACAGAGAAGCTCTGTGAGTCTCTAACTGGCCAAGCACACATATTTAGGGAGATGACATTACTAAGTCTTTTCACCTTCTCCTTCACAGCACTAGCTGGTACTACGTGGGAAAGGAGTCATCTAAGTATATCTGTTCCCAGTTTTTTAAATATTGAGACAGGAAGGCATTAATCAGGAAACCAAAATCCTCACTGCACCTATGCTGATCTAGTCAGGAAATCAAAATAATTAAAAAGACAAAACATTTTTGAATACTGACATATTTTCAAATTAATCAGCTTCAACAAAATTCATCACTGGAATGAGACTTGAAATGGAAAGAGAAAGTGTTAAAAGTGACACTCTTAATTAAAAGGTTGGATGTATAAACTACCTATCTAATTACGACATTGGCATGGGTCTTGGTTTTTAATTCATATAAAGTCAATGCTGTAACTTCAATACCATAAAAGTGATCTACATATGTTATTACCGAAATTCAACTCCACCTTTTCTTTTGCATTTTTTGCTTCAGATGTGTTTGTATAAATGGTAAAGAAAGATAACTTTTTCAACTTCATATAGCTTTATTAAATATTTCAATTAGTAAGACTTACTATCATCCATCTGGAGACTTGGAGGACAATAAAACTTTTTATGAGTAATTAAATTTGGTAATCCTCTGAAGAGACTCCGGCACAATTTACACTCAAAAATGGTGTCCACATCTTTTAACAAGATATGTTTAAGTTGTTTCGTTCCTGTAATAAAGGAAATATTACACTTAGGGACGGTTTTCTGTTCATCTTTTAATTCACGTCATCCCATGAAAGAGGAAACATTTTAAAACGTAAATAATTATAACAGCATTTTATCTTTTGCTAATGTTACTTCATCGTACTGTAAGTTTATGACACATACTCCAAATTTCACTATGAAAACAACACTAGGATGAAAAATCCCTCAAGGATTATGCACATTACAGTTTACAGGGAAGTGCAATGATTTATGATAAAAACTAACAGCTGACATTAGGAAAGAGTCCACACTACAGTATTAGGTTGCTGCAATACAATTTTCCAACAGGAAAGAGTAAGCATTTAGAGCATTTAAAGAAGCCTGTAGTATTTTTTTCTCTAGGGTTACCCAACAGTGCTAAGAAAACAAGATATATACAGCTATTTCATAGAAAAACAGCACCTGGTAAGGCAAAAAACTAAAGCATGAAATAAAGTAGAGAATAACTAACAGGTGAAGAAATGTTACTGCATCTAGGTATCTGACCCAATACCAAGATGACACAGTAGATATGTAAACATATTTTCAGCACAACGAACAGATAATAAAGAATTTTTGGATTTAAGTTAAAACACAGGCAATGTGACAAAATATGCCACTTTTTGAGACTATTATACATTGCATCTAAAGATAATTAGATCTAACATTGTCAATGTATTCCAGCTCCTGCCATGCTTACAGAAATAAAGAATATCATTTTTTACACTTCAAACTTCTCCTTCATTTCTCACCTCACAAAAATTATGAAAGTAATGTCTACAATTAGCAATGGATTACTAAATGAATACTTACCCACTCCAAATTAGAAAAAAAAAACACTAACCAGATTCAGCTAATTTCTCGATCTTGATTTTTCTTAGAATTAATCAAAACTAATCAAACAAGCAAAAATATAATGAAACTGGACCATGAATAAATAATATCAGACACCCATGAAACAGCAGCAAGACATTCTTCAAACTGAAATAACAAGTTCAAGTGCTCTATCACCACATACACTTCTCTTAAGAATTCCTTTTAAAGACCAAACTCAGAGTCCCACTGCAGAACTATTTTCTGAATGAAACTTTTTCAAATATTAATAATTTCATATTACCTAGCAGTTCTTCCATACTAATAGGCCTTACCAAGAAAACTTTACTTCTTAGTGCAGTAGTATTACAAAACATTTTACAACTGAGTTTTAGCAAAGCACAGTGTCGTCGTCTTCTTCAACAGTTGTTTAAAAATGGAACCCAAACTTGACCATCTGAGGCTACCATCCAGTTTCTGTCCTTGCCTGTGCCTTCCTGGGCCACCTCTCACTGCTCTTTCTTTTAGTGTTCCTAAACTCATCTTCATTTGACCTACATTTTTACAAACAAACTACTAGACAAATATTTAGGTATAGCAACAAACAAAAATTGTAGAGAGTTCCCCCCAAAAGCAAGTTGTTTACTCAGATCTCACCAACAATCACTTGAATTTTTGCATATTAAAAAAGCCACTGACAAAAACCTGTCTGAACAAAACTGAAGATGCTCCATGTAAATAAAATCGCTGTGACATACCAAACTGTAATTCATACCAAACTATATTTCAAACAAAATGCTTCCAATTTGGTGACAGCACACAATAAACCAGAATTCGCTCATGCTCTTCACGCACGCTCTAGCCACAAAGCCCTCTCCCAAAAAAAGAAGAAAAAAAAATCATCAAATTCTCCATTACTTCACAACTGAGGGACACAAAAGTTCCTCATTCTCTCTCCTATTATGGTGGTATTTCAGTCTCCTTCTGTTTAGCACTGAAATGTTTTGGGTTTTTTTTCCCAATACAAATTACTGGGTTAAAGAATTACTGGATGAGATAAAGGATTTATGAGATACTGAAAGTCACACTATTTGACACAGTAGTCACTCTGGCTTGAAATCATCCTTATGCAACTATGAAGCTTTTCACTGGTGAGAGTAGAAAAATAATTGGTCCTTTTGAATTAAACTGTAGACCTTTAGGAACTTCTGAAAACAGCAATTGGATTTAAAACATCCACTGGTTTTGTGGACACAGCAGGCAAAGAAAATCATCTCCTTACTCTTCACCTACTGCAGATTGTGGCAACAAGTGGTCAGTTCTGCCAGCATATGCTGCCTCCAGCTTACTGAAGTCTTCTCTATTTTGTAGTTACATCTAATTGGGGTGGTCCAATTCTGTTAATATTCATAAATATTGATTCTAGAATAACATCATAGTCATAAGAAAGCAGTAGAGAACATTAACAAATACCTCTTAGAAATACCGAAGTATATGCCTTTAGCAAACAATTTCTTTTTTAAGAAAAGAAAAACAGATTCAAATTCACCTGTTATTCTTGATGCTTTTTGATAAAATTTCTTAAATCTCTATTTCTATACCACAAGAGTCAATATACTCTCTCTCCATAATGAAATATTACTTGTTCAAAACCAACCACAAATCTTAGTCTAAGTCCTTTGGCCTTCTGTCCAACTTTCCTGATGCAGATGACCGAAGAAGACGTCAAAGTAAGCTATCAATTTAACTCCTGCCAGTGAGGACAATCTGGAAGTACCCCAGAGACAAAATACTTGCAACTACTTTGTGTTATTACCAGTAGGGATTGCACTGATCTGCTTCAAGTGAAAGAAGTCTGTCACAACTATCTGAGGCCTGAGGCAGCCTCAGTCAAACTAAAAAATGCTACTAATGAATAACCTCACATCCAGTTTCTGTATTAAGTTGTTGAAATGCTAGTGGACAACTTAAATACTGTGCCCTTTTACAAGATTCAGACCAGATATGTATCCCAGTGGACAACTTAAATACTGTGCCCTTTTACAAGATTCAGACCAGATATGTATCCCATTGCACAGCAGCAATGGGATGTGTCAATACATGACACATTTCATATACTTAACAGCTCTATGTGGAAAAATCAAGAAACACATACTCTTAGTAGCAACAAGGACCAAAAGTTATGAAAATAAAATGTATGGTCTGCCATACATCTGTCCACTTCATACAGAAGTGGAGAAACAGCTAGAAAACATTAAACGTTTCAATCATCTCTGGGATGCTCCCCCATAATGCTCAGTTGTTGTTCTTGATTCATTGCCATGTATTGCAACTCCCAAAAACAAATCAAGACAGACCTTAAAAGTAACATGATAAAGAGAAAACTTTACCTTGAACTTCTTAAATTGCATTATCTCAGCAATTCTATCATAAAGTCATTAATAAAAGCAGGAAAAGTGACACTAACAAAGCACAACACAGGAACAACATAGCACAACACAGCACAACGAAGTAATTTTTAATGGTTTTGATAGATGTTTCTTCATTACTTTATATGAAAACTCTTATTAAAAGGAACACCTAATTCCAAAAATCTGCTAATAGTTTGCCAATATGCAGGAAGTTGGGTGTTGGTTATTTTAATAAATTAAATATACATAACTCTTACAAAGAGGTAAGGAACTTTTTCAGAGTCAGGCATAGTTTCATACCTGATCGAAAACACTCAATGATTTGCTGAATACCAGATTTTGATGTCTGCAGAGGCTGCTGCAGTAACGGAGGATCACCAGGTTCCAACAGATGTACTGAAATATGTAAAAGGATAATAAGCTATTAGAGAACACTCAGGGGATTCCTGTAAGTTGTGAATTTTCCATACATACAGTAAACTGGATAAAAAGAAAAGCCAGGACTATAGTAAAATTAGTCTTATTCTACAATTTCCATCTAGATTGAATTAAAAAATACTGAATTTTGCAGCCATGATACCTTCTGATAGGTTTGCTGTAATTTTGACTATTTAAAGAAAACATGTATTCAAAGCTACTTGTAGCAAACACAAAAACATATAAATATATAAAACGAAATTAACTCATTAGAAATTTCTGTCAATTAAAGCACTTCCCTAGAACAATCTGGACTCCCATTGTTAAAACCAAAACAATGTACAGAAAAGCATTACCAATACTGTACTTCACAGTACACTATATGACTTCCATGTTGCTAGTACACATCTAAACAATTAATCCAAATTTAAAGTAGCAATGATCAGTAAAAAAGCACACGCAGAACTACACAGTATATACCAAAAAGAGTTATCATAATATTTAACCAACAAAACCATATTCAAGAAATGCTTCTGGTTCAAGCAAACTGAAATATTTCTGATGTTTCATTCCACATATTCTTCGTAAAAGCTATTGAAAGGAAAATATGTATTGATCAGCATGATTATTAGTTATTCCAATATGCAATAGTTATGCATATGAAAATTAATAGCATTCCACTGCCATATATGTATATGGCAATTAAGCTTTGCCCAGAGACAAACCCGAGTTTTTTGTTTGCAAAATCATTACTTAGGTCTTCTTTTTCACTTCTTATTGACAAAACAGTTGGCTTTGTACTTCATATATCGGCTCTTACCTTATCCATTTGGTTTGATTTTCTTAATAAAGAGCAGTAGAGCATAGTATAAAACTATTTACAGATTTACTACTTAAAGAGTCAACAAATCATGACAGTAGAGTTGAGTTAAAAGATGTAAGGTTATAAATAAATTCAAACTGATAGGAATATAGAAAGAAAAACACTCTAAATGCACACATAACAATTATTATAAATCAGCCAATCATTTGAGGTTCTGTAACACAATGGCATATTGTATTCTACCAGCCTACTCCCTATACTTGAAAATAATATATTTTGGTTTGCATACTGCCTCTAATATGCATGTATAACACCCACTGACACCTACAGGAGTAATGCAGGTGAAGCAGACATAACGCATCACTGTTAATTTGTCAGGCAAAAAAAGTGCTTGTTTAAAGCATTAGAACAACTCAGAATCATTTCATCTTCACAAATAAATTATTCTAACTGAACAATAACTACTCTCAAATTACATTTAATTAAAGAAATTAAATTTCCTTTAAGGATACTAACTGTAACAGTAGGTCGAACAATCTCAAAAAAATCTAGCAGGCTGGTTGAACCTCTACAGTATTCATTATATTTTCCACTGATGGTACCTTCCACATCACACAGCAGTGGAATGCAAACGGCCGTTTCAGGACACGGTGGGCTTTTTCTTCTCTGAGAATAAGATCTTCATCAGAGCTCACCAGAGAAGACATAGAGTAAAAATATAAACAATGAATGTAAAAGATGGCTAGAAACATAATTTTACAAAATATTCGGAACACTGCACTTTTTGGAAGCAAAAAGACCAGTTGTTTTACACAGCTTCCTGCCTTCCTCTGCTCACTGAATACAATGCCCACGTGGTGGCCCGGGAATTATTGCACATCCTGCAGGAACTGAAAAATTCTTTTCCTGAAATACTTTTGAAGTGACAGTTCACAGATACCAAAAAACATTTCCAAACAAAATTCAGAAACTTTTCATATCGAGAAGTGACACTAACAATCCACATTTGCAATCATCACAACGGTTTCGGAGAGCTTTAAAAGAAGGGGATATGCAAAACAGCCGAAGCATCACACAGCACTATACCTGGCTCACAGCATCCATGGTGATGGTGGTCAGTCTGACAACACTTGTCCCTTAAAGGCATTTTCCGTGCGCACGACCCACTTTTTTTCTACATCCAGCAGCTCGCTTCTGCTGAAATAAGCAGATTAGCTGTCACGGCCGAAGTACAGGCGGCTCCGCAGAGCGCTAACCCCGCACACCCACACCCTGCGGCGGCAGGGCCAGGCAGGCCGGAGGCAGCGGCACCCTCGGCGCAGGAAAAGTTCCCATTGTTGTCGACAGGTCCCACACCGCCCTCTGCAACAACCGCGCCAAGCTCGGCCCTGCTCCCGCCCCGCCGCCACCTGCGCCCAGCCCCGGGAGAGCCCCCGGCCGCCGCCCTGCCCCGAGCCCGGCCCGGCCCCGCGGCCCCTCCGCGGGCAGCTCTCGCCGCGCCCCGTCCCCACCTCGCAGCCTCGTCCCGCAGCCCTGCCGCCGGGAGGGGGTCCCTCGGCTCCCGCGGGAGCACAGCCGCGCCCCGGCAGCCCCAGCGGCGGCCCCGGGCCGGGCCGGGCCGGGCTCTCCCGGGCGCTGCCGCAGCCGCAGCCGGAGTCGGGCGCGCCCGCCACGCGAGCCCGCGCGGGAGCGGCGCGCGGCCGCAGGTGACAGCGGCGCCGGGCGGGATGGAGCGGGCGCGGCGGCGGGAGCGGCGGGCGCGGCGGGCTGGCCCTACCTGGAGAGGACGGGCGGCTTCTCCCTCCCCGAATTAAACTTTACTCACCGCTGTCCCGCCAGAGCGGCGGCCGCTGACCCCGGAGACGGATGGGCACGGGGGCAGGAAGTGACTACGGCCCTGGCGGCGAGCGCCCACCCAGTGCGCAGGCGCCGCGCGGTCCGGCCGCACAGGTGCCGCCTGGGGCGGGCGGGCCCGGACGAGCCGGGGCCGGGGCTGGGCCAGGAGGGCGGGCGGTGCTGCCCCTCCGAGCGGGCCGCAGGGGCGGGCTGAGGCGCGACGCCCGCCGCAGGGCTGGCCGGCGGGAACCGGCGCCGTCTTTGTCCCTGCGTGGGGGAAAGGCCCGCGCTGATCCCACGCACACCCGTGATGTACAGGGCTACCCTGAGGGCACCGCTAATCGGACACCAGTGGAAGCAGCCGCCACCACTTGAGGTGGCATTTCTGTCCCCTCTCAGCGTGGTCTGTGCTGTTACAGTTTAAACACACACACACACACACACACACACACACAAAACCCCCAAACAAATACAAACTAAATCCCTAGTTCTAAGAAACACGCAAAAGAAAAAGATAAATGAATTTTTTGAACACCTGGAGGAAAAACTCCTTTTCAGAGAGAGAATTGTGTGATCTATATTCCTAATATCGCCAAGAGGACGTCGGTGCCCAGGTGGTGGGTATTTCCAGATAACGTTTCCACAGAGAGCCTGCTTAGTCTTGCGCTCCTTTAATGCCCTTCTGTGGGCAGCTTGGGTTGATGGGAAGGTAATACTCAGTTTTTGCCAAGAGAAAGGATGTGATTAAATTTTCTTACACGTAAGGAAAAGCTGCTGCTGTTTAAGGAAAACCTGTAAGGAAATGTAAAGAATAAGCACATCGTTACAGAAAAAAAATGTTAAGTGATGGTACTAACACGGAAACAATCTGTCAAGCTCTGGCTTGTAATAGCATCCCTTCTTAATGGAGGCAGGATTGTGGTTTCAGGCAAAGTTCCAAGTCAGATTACAGTCTGTCTTAGAGTAAGATGTCTCACACTTTCTCAAATCAGACATGGAGAGACCTTACCATCTGTGGCCATCCACTTGAACACAATAATGTCTTCTTTGAAAACATGGACATTCATTTCATTAATCAGACTTCTTTTTCCAAAGCAATGCAAGGACAAATTCAAACTCCACAAATTGCACTTGAGTTTTGGTTAATAAACTGGGAACACTTCAAGTGTTGGAGAATAGTTTCAAACAGCCAAGTGCCAAGTAGCATCTTAACTCTGAAGTACAACAGAGGTCAGTTGAAACCTTTATGTCAGACAACCAGACACAGGGTTTGGGTCTCTACATATGTGCAGAGGTGGTCTCACCTTGAGCTTAGCTATTTCCTGATCTCTGTTGTGTTTTAGACCCAGAGTGGAAGAGGCTTAAAGTCTCCCTAGCCATGCAGCTGCACTCAGCCCATATATAGAGCATTTTGGTAAAACTCATGGGTAACAAAGTGCAAGGAACATGGCTGTCGGCTCTAGTTCTGCACAACTGCCTACTGACTGTTGTACTTGACCAAGAAGTATCAAACTTAACATTTCACATCTCCCAAGTGATGTGAAAATTAGATTCAAAGATTATCTACCATTCTCTCTCATGCCACTGTGCTATAAAGGTTGAAATAGTAGAGTAATAAGCTGCTTAACTTTGTGTGTTTGTTATTTGCTATGAACACTGGTAGCCTTGTCAGCAATATAATTTTATTGAGTGATCAAAAAATAAGAAAGAGAAAAGCAACCTGACAATCATAAATCAGCAATGGAAGTTTAGAATCTCTTGGTTGTATTTTGTGCTTCTGCATTTAGCCACTCTCAATGTGATTTTTTTTTCCCCTTCTAATCCAATCAAAGTTTCTCTATTTTCACTTTATCACCTGTGTCAGGTTTGCGTGGCAAGGTTTTGGTAGTTGGGGTGGCTTCTCTTAGAAGATGCTGAAAGCTTCTCACATGCCCGACAGAGCCAATGCCAGCCAGCTCCTTGGCCAAGGCTTAGCCAGTCAGCAATGTAATACCTCTGTGATAAAAAAAATTAGGAAAGAAAATAGTTACTGCACAGAAGAATTGTGGCCAGAGAAGAGAAGAGTGAGAATATGTGAGAAATAGCCCGCATACGCCATGGTCAGTGAAGGAAGTGCTTCAGGGGCCAGAGCTGAGATTCACTGGCAGCTCGTGGTGCAGACCATACTGAGGCAGCTGTGCCCCTGCAGCCCACGGAGGACCGCACAGTGGAGCACGTGTATGCCAAAAGGAGGCTGTGGAAAGCCCACACTGGAGCAGGTTTCTGGCAGGACCTGTGGACCTGTGGACAGAGGAGTCCACACTAGAGCAGGTTTGCTGGCAGGAGTGTGATCCCAGGGGGGACCCACGCTGGAGCAGTTTGTTCCTGAAGGACTGACACTTCAAAAAAAAGACCTATGTTGCAGCAGTTCATAAAGAACTGCAGCCTGTGGGAAGAACTCATGTTGGAGCAGGAGAAGGAGTCCTCTCCCTGACAAGAAAGCAGCAGCAGAAACAAGTGACATAACCCCCATTCCCTATCCCGCTGCGCTGCTGGCGGGAAGGAGGTAGAGAATTGGAAATAAAGTTAAACCCGGGAAGGAGAGAGGGGTGTGGGAAGGATGTTTTTAAGATTAATTTTACTTCTCATTAACCTACTTTGATTTTGATTGCTAATTAATTCAATTAATTTCTCCAAGCTAGGTCTGTTTTGCCGAGGGATCTCCCTTGTTCTTAGCTCAACTCATGAGCTTTCATTATATTTTACCTCCCCTGTCCAGTTGAGGAGGGGAGGGATAGAGGGACTTTGGAGGCCACCTGACATCCAGCCAGGGCCATTCTCTCTTCTCCTTCCCCTATACACCTCCAAAAAAATATAGTTCCACCTTCTTCATAACCCCTCGTTCTGTGAAGCGCTGGGATTATATGCTCTCAGTGTTCTCCAAGATAAAGAATCTGAGTTCCTTTAACCTTCCTGCTCCAATCCCTGGAACCAGCTTGGTTACCTTCATCTGGATACTGTTCATCTTCTAAATATCTAGCATACTTAGGAGCCCAAACTGGACACAGTATTGCAGATGCTGACCTCACAACTGCTAAACAGAGGGGAATAATCATTGCCCTTCATCTGCTGGATGTATGCTTGTTAATGTAGCATGGCATGTGGCTAGCCGTAATTATAACAAAGTGGCAGTGTTGACCCTTGTTCCAGGTTTTAACTGGACCCACAGGTCCCTTTTTGCAGAGCTGCCATCTCATCAGTCGGTCCCCAACCTACAGCATTTCATGGGGTTTTGTCCTGAGTGGAAGACTTTGTCCTATCAGGCCATTCACACAGCAACCCTGTCCTCCAGCATGTTGGTCACCTCCCCGGTTTCACATCATGCACATGCTGAGGATACATTCCAACTGAGTGTGTCAAACAGCATAAGCCCTAATAAGCTCCTTGAGGAATATAACTAGCTGCCAGTAAGATTTCAAACTACTGATTTGCAAGTCTTTTGATCCTCAGAGTCCAGCCAACTATATACCATGTGTACCTACCTCATAGTCTTTCAACGCAGTTACATTTACATTTGGCTAGAGGGATGCCATGAGAACCCAAGTGGATACTGCAGCTGAAATCAAGGTAAGTATTACCCTCTGCTGTTACCTCATCCACAGAGGCACCATTTCATCATGAAAGACAATGACATGAGTTATACAAAATTTGGCCTCTCCAGTTTCAAAAATTCCAATTAAGGTTCAGTTCCCTATTGTTTTGTTTGTTAGAAGGGCAAGTTGCATATTTTTGGAGGGTAGCCAAATAGCAGCTGAAATCTTATTCTATCTTAAATGCATTTCCATCACTTTTATCTTCCACGCTTAAGGAAGACCAGAAAAAATGGGCACTTTTGCATGCATGTATGAATCTCCGTAACTTGGTTGACCTTGTGGGTTGAAGACCCTAATCGTGATATTGTTGTGTTTAACTCATCATGTAGTTTATAATGTAAACAATTAGTGATGTGGGCAAACAAATGCACCCAAACTTTGACCTGTCAGATAGCCAGTCTTGTGGACAGTGTCTCTGGTACTACCAGATCAGGTATCTCCATCTGACCAAGCAATGGGTGCCTTCAGGAGGGCACTTGCAGAGTACAGTCCTTTCAGCAGTGACTGGGCATTGCATACGAGAACTTTGGATCAAGGTGGCAAAGATCCCAGTAAAGCTCACTTCACAACACACTGCTGCAGTTAGTTGTTCATCCAACAGGATAAACTGGAACTCAGATCTAATTTGAGTTTCATGTGTAAAAGAACATGATGTTGCCTGACTTTGAAAAATGAAATAGTCCTCCGTCCATTAAATATGAATGACAATTGGAATCTATAATAACTTATAATAAACTTTACTGAATAAAAACTTGGGATGGGAAATTAGGGTTAACTAACTTTTTGGTTTCTGTAGATAAGAAAGATTCCATGAAAATGAAAGAGATTTTTAAAACAATACGAAGTAGTACTTCACACAATCTGTAATTAACTTGTGTCCAGGAAACATAGAAATTCATAGCTAAACCACATAAAATGTAAAAAGTGCAGGATGCACTTCCCTATAACAAAGATAAGGATGAAAACCCCTTTGATCCATTTCATGTAAATTCTAGGCATAAAGTACATTATTAGGAGAGGGGGTTTTGAATCTAGTTTTCATTTTCTGGCTCGTTTTCAACATAACCTGTAGAGTTTGAAACAGCATATTTGTTTATTCATCGCCTTTTAGATGATGTGGAACCAGTGGGATGTTCTGTACTTATTTGACGGTCAAATTCTTTTTTAATTGTTTTTCAGTTGTGATTATGGCTTTGTGAAATCCAAAATTCAGAACAATTTCTCTTAGTTCCAGGATTGTGATTCTAAAATATATAATGAAGTATTCTAGCAAGGGAGGTTTGATAGAGGATATTGAAGCATTATCTCAAATAGTTGTGATAGTAGGCTTAATGTCCACTGAGAGGTTTTGTCTTGCCAAAGGGCTGGTAGTAACACCTGCCGAGATGCCTTGCCATCTGTTTATACATCTAAGAGCTGTAAGATTTGATTACTAAACT